GTTCAGGATTGATTATGTGCACGTAGCTCACATTCTTTCGAATAAGATAAAATAAAGAACCAAATATTTTAGAATAAGGAGTATGACAAAATTGAGTATTCGACTTCCGGTGCACCCACTTCAGTGGATCAAGTATGGATGTCGAATACCCAATAACAAAATGACCAAAGATTTCTTGACTCGTTTCGATAACATATTTTCGTTCTCTTGGAAAATTAACGCATGGGAGTTAATTGAACATTCGGCATCAGGAGGAATTTCACACGGAATTCTTTGGGTAGCACGAACCTCTCTACTAGCGTCTTCAGGTCGACATCACCTTCGCTGAGGAAAGAAAACGATTCAGCATGAAATCAAAAATGTTGGATATTTTCATTCCTTAACTACCTCAAGCTAATTAACACCGATTAGCCTTATCTATTATTTACCTATACTACTATCTCTATTGAATTACTTATCCTCTCTACGCATTTACAATTATTCCAGAGCTCACTCGATCATCCTCTCCTTCTCAGAAACGCAACAATAATTCGTTCTCTAATTAAATTTCTTTTTATCTCTTTCGCCACAAATATGTTTTTTTCTTTCACCGACGTGTTTACACGCCTCCAATGGTCATAACACGATAACCGGTGATAACAGAGGATGCTCTTATCGTGGCTCATGGTCCAGTACGTGCCCGTGAAATATCCGGCACTTTTACCTTTTAGCCTTCTTCAGTAGATCGTCACCACCCTCGAGGAACTTCTTTAAGGAATTCGGAATACGGGAGTCCACTTGGGACACCGCGATCACGTCGCCACCCTGCACCAGTTGCACCCCTAGGTGTTGCGGTCCGCCATTTTTGCTGGTGAATTGTACAAACCTGTAAATCAGAGATAGATATGCATATAATTGCCATTTTGATCTTACAACTTTGATATCGAACCCCAGAAGCGAGTCGATCTTTTTTTTTTCTAATACACTTCTGATAAGTTTAGATTACTATTGACCCTATTCAAGGGTTAATGGTTCCTATCTTCCTTCCTATAAATGATAAGTCGAAACGCCAGTCTCTTGACCTCCTTCTTTAAATATAGAATATGTAATTTTATCAAGTACAATTTTTCGTCATTGAAATTACTCGCAGAGGATAAGGTGGGTAATGGTAGAATTCGATTTCAACAATTTCTCTGTAAGTCCCGGTACTTATCTTATTGAGCAACGGGTAATTACTTTTAGCAGATATAAATCTCGAAATAAAGTTTGCATCGCCGCGAGCCTGATCGTTATCCAAGACTGTGTTTCGAAACAAAGATAATTGATTCATTCATTATTGATACATCGATACATACGGCGATCTTCATTAATTCCAAATAAAGGCTAGCTACAAGGAATTGCACATTTCTCTCTGAAAGTGGCAAGTGTAAATGTGAAAGTTAGGAAAAACCTTGTTTTTCCTTTAGACCTATGGCGCAGAAAATTCTTGTTACTGTTTCGAGTAAACTTTGTAACTCTTAGAAAATAATATCCCTCGTTCAATCGATTTTCAATTTATTTTTTTAATGAATAAAAAAATGAATAACACTCGAAGATCTCCTGTGATGTTAAAGAATACATCCCTTTTGCAATCGCAGCACGAAATCTGATATTGTTATTCGCTGTACGAACAGGTTTATCGTGAAAGCGAAGATTAATTCACCTTCTCTTGGGTACTTGGGACAAAATAAAAGGGACAAATAAATCTCAAGGTTCGTTGTTACGAAGAATGCTTGTACGACAACTTGAAACGTGAATATTTTCCTTAAGCAGTAATTCGCGATAAGCAGAAGGAAAACTTAAATATAGGGAGATAAATAAATAATTATATAACCGTGTAAAAATGAATTGGAAAGGGAAAATTTAAACAAAATGAGAACGTTAATAACGCAGCTTATATTTCTTCTGTTTTTAGATAGTTCAATCGCAATCTACAACATCTGTCTGCCCTAATTTTAATTAGTACGGTAACACTTTGCGCTTATCAACGTCGATCAACTAAATTAATTCCATGGTTTACCAACTCGGCTGATAAAGTAAGAAAATAGAAAAAGTTATTTTTATTTTAATCTGAGGATGATACATTTAACATGGTTCAATAATTTTACATTAATTAATTGGTTCGAAACAATATAAACTATAAAATATTAAATATTTGAACAATTTTATTGTCTGCGACTTTGCTGCCACCTGGGTCGCGTTAATTTCAAATTTGTTTAGGAAAAACTATCTTGAATAGAAATACCCAAACAGTTGTTGAGGCCCCTGTATGCCGCAATATTTCAGCGTTAGTGTTGAGTACACGATATAGCGTGATCCAATATTTAGCATTGACACTCAAGTACGTGATATGGAGTTAAAGATAGTAAAGGTATTAACTATTTATTTCAATATATTTTTGCTTATAATACAAAGTATTATCTTGGAAACAATATATTTTCAACCTGTGGGAATTAATTAACTTATTCAGTAAATAGAGGTTAAGTTTTGATTTAAGTATTCAGTTCTCATTATTATTATTCTATCATCTCTTCCAAGATACCTGTAATAGATTCAAATACATTTTGTTATTGTTTTATGGAATTTGTGGTATAAAAACAACGTTTTAATGTTAATTAACATCCCTCGACCGGTGTGGTAGCACGCAGCTACCTTCAGCTCGAACAGTTTCGTGAACGTGCAATTTCAGGCATGTCCAGTGTCGATGATATAACTGCGTTTCATCGAATACACCGGATGTTTGAAATCAATTAATCGTTGATCGATTATCGAATGAAGCTTTTTCATCTGGTCCTACAAATCGATTGATGCGATTTTCCGGTGAATGACATTCTAACCGCGAATAGTAATTAGCAATCAACATCAACGTATTCACCTAAACGTATATGGAGTTAAACGTAGTGTTGTGAACTCTTTTCAGTATACTATTATCTTTTAGCACCTTCTTATTCTAGTTGATATGAAATACGACTTAACTGTAATGTAGTTTCTCGAAGGTAGTTGCACCCACCTAATACGCCTTTGAATTAAATCGATCCATCCTTCTTTTACGTCATAAAATTGCTATCCAAATATGTATAAGCGTAATGTACACACGGTTAACGTTACGAGCTAATTTTTTATTAGGCGCGGTGAAGGCTAAATAAAAAGAAAATTTTGTAATGGTCGGACACAAAAGGTCAATCAAATATTTCGCGCGAAATTTGACCATTCCCAAACACCTTCCAAAATGTGGTATTTCTGTTGTATTTTTGTTCTGTGGTATTCTTGAATTGTTGTTAAAAAAATCCTGTTTAGAAAGTGCAACTCACCTCATATCGAGTGCACTGCTTGAAGAAAAATTCCTGCCGCGTATACTAGCAGCAAAATGCGTGTTACTCTTCTCTGCGCACGAGTTTCTTAGAGCGAAGCAGGCTCTGCTAAGTAATCGTACTCTACCGCGATAAGGCATTTTTTCGTTGTACAAAGGTCTGACGGCGAGATAGACAGGTAATGTTATTAACAGTCTCTCGAGTTAGATAAAAAAGTAGGGTTTCGCCGGTATATAAAAGACACAGCACTCACTATGAAGAACGAACTACAACTGAAACACATTACGCCACTCTAGCGTTGTTCGAGTTGTAGTGGGGAGAAGCACGTGACCTCGATAAAAAATGATTCTACTTTGAGAACAGTCGGTAATCAATTCGATCATGACTTTCGGTGAATGAACGAAAAATAAAAATATCAATGACTATTTTCTTTACATTTCACTAACTGCACGATGTTTGGTCAGAAGTGAAATAATTAAATCTGCATGAAAAGTTTTCAATTTATTGAACAAATGCATACATTTTCTGCAATTATACATTTCTTTTATGAAGATTTCTTATTAATAATTTACATCTTCATTCAAGGTGCTGGATATTTTCTTGTGTAAGGAAATTCCTCACGGGTATGATAAGGTGTGTATGGATCATCGACATAATAATGCGGCCTTTTCCAATACATTGTTACCATCTTATCTAATAAAGTGGATTGTGTTGCATTGCAAAATACATGTGACTTTCCTCTCCTAAGCCGTTTTGCTTTTTTCGTCCATTTACGGCTATTTCGTCCAGCGATAGTTCTTATCCATATACCCCTGTAAGTAAATAAAATATGTAATGTAATGTACAACAGATATAACTAGCACCATATTCAAAGCTTACCAATTTAATCTGTAAAATCTATCAACAACAGCTTTTACAGTTTTTCTTTTACCCTTCAGTCTAGAAAACTTTGTAACTGTTCTTACAGGGGTTTTCATAGGTGACAATGATGGAGGAACAACACTTCCTATGTGTGTTTGGCTATAAATTTTAATTTGATTATAAATAATATTTCATACTGGTACAGTGTTATGTAATATATTGCACAATGAACAGTATCCATACCTAAGTATTGCTTTCTGTTTAATGTCAGCAACATTATTCCAATTATTAGTTATAGAAGATAAAACACCAAAGCATCTTTGTTGTGTATTTGCAACAGTTGGAAGTTGCTTAAAAACTAAAGGATTTATAAAATTAACATTGGTGTGTGCAGCAATTCCTGTAACAAGTAGAATACAAAATATTAATTGCACCAGTATTAAATAAAATCTAGATTTAAAGATTAAAATTAATGTGTAAATATTTGATAAGATATCAAATTAAATCATTAGATTTTATTCAATTTATATAGTTCAATGATCGCGCCAATAGTTACAGTTCCATGTCATTCCTTTTGTCAGAAAACTAAAATGGTTCGCTTTATCAACTGAACATAACCTACAACCCACGGATTTTGAAGCATTGTCGTGCAACGATTTGTCAAGTCTGAATAAATGATAGTTTACAATGAAGCGATTAAACTGTCATTTAATTTAACAAAGTCGGGCATTGGTGAATCGTCTAAAAAATTCACGTTACATACCTCGAATTGCGGTACTAACAATACGCAACATTCTTCTTTTCGTATAGTTCCGTCGGTAACCAGCTGTTTTGTGCCGTCGTTCCCTTTTCCTTTGGCTGCCTGACCGGCCACCCGAAAGATGTTCCGAATTGGATTAAAATTTCCGTGCAACGGTCTAAATAGGGTACGTAAAGTAAGTAAAAAGCAAACGGTTATAATTGTGAGGACCGAGTGTTTTTTTCATTACACGAATTTAATGAAAGATAACGAAGAAATTTTGAGAAGTACCCGTTCACTATGTGCTACTAGATGTTATTGTCGAGACGTCTCTTCTGTAATAATTTTTAATATTTCGTTATTATTTATTATTCTGACAAGAAATAACACATAGTTTATGTGAGGAATTGTGGTTCTGTTATAATTACGATGTTTTCACAAGTTGTCAGTGAATATTCCTGTGAACAAGACCAAGGTTGTTGCCCGCCTCATGTGACAAGATGGCTTAAATTTAGGAGCTTACATAATTCCAGACGGTTTCACTGCCACCGTTGTCGTTACAGGTCAAAAAACATGGATCCTCCAGACTCTATTTGACAACTAGGTGTTACGAGACACGTGCACGAGTTAAATGTGAGCCTGAATGGAGGTGAGTGAAGGAATTTGTTGTTTTGTTTGATAACACATTTTCAGGATTGTCAAGCTTGTCTTTACTTAAGTCGTCTCTAAGGAGAAAGAAGCTCTTAATGATTACTTTTATCTGTACCTGATTTAATACGTTTTAAATAATAATTCTGTTACTGATTTGTGGGTTAGGTTTTGATTAGGTTATGTTTTTTTTAAGTAGACTTGAGTGTATAGTCATGTAATTTTCATTAGACTTTTAAGCATTATATTGATTGACAGAAGAATATTTTATAAGGATGATTAAATGTTTTAGGATTTTCAAGGATGTCAAACTTACGTCCAGATATTCTGGACATAGGTATTCGACTGACTCATCAAAAAGGTAGTCAAAATTTAAACCTAAGAATGTTGTGCTCTTGTGTTTTATAACAAAATTATATGCATGCCCTAGATTTCAATTTGCATCCATTTGACTTTCAGTTTTAACTTCAAATATATTGTTTAAATTTTGAAGGTGTCTTAATACATTTTTTATTTATGTATTTTACAATATATCTTCATCATTTTTTAATGATTTTTCTTATCAAAGTGAGAAGAGTCGAGGCTCAAAGACGCTGTTAACCTTGACTGCTGTAGCATTAGGTACATCAGGAATATTACTGTATGCAAAACATGATCCAGAATTCCGTGCCACTCTTGAAGGGTACATACCTGGCACAGACAGAACCATTCAGATCATCTTCCAGGAGGAATCATCATATTTTGAATTTATACGTTCATTCTTTGAATCACTTAAACAAACGTAAGTTTAAATGTATTAAGCAACTGTTTAAATGTGTAATCAAGAAATAGATTAACCTTTTGTATTTATAGAATAATAGATGCAGTTTTTGGAGGAAAAGCAGAAAAAGAATCAGGTCAGAGAAAATTAGATTGCAAAAACGTTGAAGATTATATACGTGAGCTCCCTTACTAATCCCTAAACATTCCTCCTTGTTTATTTTCTCTTTTAGTTACTAAGATTTTATTGTATAAAAAAAAATTATGTAAATAAAATTATGTTATTTTGCTTACTAACATTTAACAATCACACGTGTACTGTAGCACCAAAGCCAGCTTTTGTTCCTCTGGTTGACAAGAAGGAACCACCTAACAATGAACCTTATACCGAAATAAGGTTAAGTAAAGAGAAAGGAGAAGAAATTGAAGTTGGTATGGTTTTTTTTTGTAGTATAGTTTACGATTTTATATAATAAATTCTATATCTTATTCCTTCTACTGATCGTATGTATTTCTTTTTAGTGGCCGAGAAACCCGCACCGCTTTCTAAGGATCTACCTGATGAGTTAATGCCAGAAAATCTGGTGGAACTAGAAACATCGTCTGGTGTGACTGCATCTAAAGCCATTGCAGCTTATCAAAAAGCAACATGTGCTATTCAAGAATACAATCAAGATGTTATTAAAGTCGTAGAGAGTGTTGATTCTTTACCTGGTAGCGCTGTTTGGAATAGGTATTATTTTTCTGCATAACGTCGCATACTTTTCCTGTTCGTCTGTTTTTTAATAAAACAGTAAATAATTGCAGATTAAAAGAAGCAACAGAAAAGAGGACAGTAGCCGTTAAAGAGGCAGAAGAGAACGCTACTATTGCATTGAAGTCGCTCAAGAAAATGTACAATTTAATCGATGATCCTAAATTCGATGCACCGTCGCATATGAAAACGGCAGCCAGGAGAAACATTAAAAAAATTATGGACGACGTTGATGAAGCGAAGAAAAAATACGAGAAGGAAATCGAAAGCGGTAACGTCGCTGAACGTTATTGGAAACAGGTCAAAGCCGCTCGTGAAAATCTTAACGATGAACTACAAATACTTTTCCCGGAAATCAATATTCACAACAAAAAATTGGCTATCGATGAAAATTCATTTGATTTGTTCGTTCTACACATGTACAACAAAGTAATCAATCTTCAAAAGGAATTGGTGAAATTACGGGTAAATAACACAGTTGTCTTTGTGTAATGTAAACACGCTCGAGACTTCCGAGCGCGCGTGTTTATGTCTCTTTGTTATTTCCGCTTCAGACCGTGCAAGAGAACAGACTGAAAGCAGCGCTTAGGTCGACCGGTGATACGGCAAGCCAGGAGAAATTGGACGAGCTGGTGTGTTTGGAGTTGGAAAAAGAGAAGCTGATCATTCAGGACCAATTCAACAAAAAGGTAGGTGCATAAACTTTATCACCGTTACACAGAGAAAACTCCAACTTTTACTTCCCAATGAAATATGTACGGTTTCTGGGAACGATATCGTGGTCGCGTTAATTCGTTTATCGTATATCCAAATGAAATAAAGCGAAACTTTCGGACAAAAGCGAAAAAGATTCGAAGCACGAGCGCAGTAATTCTCCTGATACTGTCGGGAAAGTTCGAATTTACGATCTAGCACGCATTGCTTGTTTCGAAATTATACGGTGAACTTTTTAGGGAAAATAACAGATGTACTATCCTAATAACTCTTTTGGGAAAGAATGAAACGGTTCACCTTCCGAACCTCGTATCAAGTAAAGTTGAAATTAATATGAAGGATCGAATCGATATCTTGTCTCATGAAAGCAAACACCGAGCCGGGGGGGGGGGGGGGGGGGGGGGGGAATGGTATGTGCACAAGTGGAGGTTACACTTTCATGGTACGAATAGAATTTGAAATTGGAAAAGCCTCGCGTACACCGTCACAAAGGTATTATGTGTGTCTACACATGGGGTGTGGCGTATCCCATATGTATGCACGTGTATGTATATCTATCCATTTGGCACACCAAGAGAGAGAGAAAGAGATGGATGGAGAAAGGGATGGAGGGACGTTCCTACCACCCTTCGGGCTTTTTATCTATTTCCATTTGGCTCGTTGCCAATATTTCGCCAGTGCAAGGCAATATTATCTCTTTAGACTAGCCTTGTGGTATATCCGGCGTGTACGCGTCTAGTCACACCGAGAGATATCCTCGCTCAGGAATCACTATGACTTACTGTCGTCATAGTTGTCTGATTCCACTCGTCTTTTGCCCTCAATTCCATTGGAGTCGCGGCGTATCTATAGTTAGTTCGTGAAACAAATTCGGGACGAAACTGTCCTGATTTCTCTGTTCTGAAGTATTTCGTCGAGGTCCACTTCTCATGTCGGACAGTTTCGGATTCACAATGTCCTTTTTTTTCTTTCTCTAAAATTTTAGTAACGTAATACCACCCCTTGATGTTTGCCAGAGTTAATTCTCAATTTTTTATTTTAAATGTTTCACAGCAAATTCCTTTGCACTTGTCAATTTGTTAAAATTTCAATTTTATTTTTATTTTTGCGAAACAGTAATGACAGGTTGAGCAATTAAAGGCTGTACGATTAAAATCCGTCGAATAACGGAATCGTTTCTGATATGAGATACGTTTATTTAATTTATCAATAAGCGGGATTTCGGATATGAAAATATTTGAAAATGGTAATACGCGTTCGGAATCGTACGCGTTTAACATAATATCCAAGTTGTTCCGCGTTTAAATACGGTCGATGATAATTTCATCGAATCGTTAAACCGTGTCTGACGAACTCGAAAAGACTTTCCTTCCTCCCCGTCGTTCAAGAATTTTATGTCGAAATGATGACTTTAGCCGTGAATCGATGGAAAAGTCGTAAAATGGCCGGGGAATCGTAAAAAGCAACGGGTGATGTAAAAATCACCGTCGAACAATTCCAGTGCTTGGTAAAAAATTTACGAGATCTTGACTTGATTTCAGCGAAAGCTCTGAATGTTACTGATAGATTGCTTCCTCTGAAAATATTTTCGTTCGCCCACCTTTCTAAAATGTTCAACAGAAAAATTTTCACCATAAAAGAAAAGGAAGTTGAAAAATTCGAAGGTTTTAACGATGAATTTTCAAGTTGAAATGAAAAATGACCGCGTTAAATTGTTCACGGATCAGCGAGGATGAGTTGCCTCATTAATATTTAAAAATGTCCCCTCGTAAAGTTTAATAATTACCCCCATTACATGGGTGGTTTATCTTGGAGTATTTTCTTCTTTATTCCGCGCCAAAGTGGGATATCTTTCATTTGAATAGGAAATTTCTACGGAAATTTTTACAAAAATTCACGTTGCACAGGTAAGTTTAAGGATTCCTTTGTCGAGGATAAAATTGACATCGTCCGGTTCCTTTCCACGCTAAATCACACGCGTACGCTCAAGAAAGGATTCAGAATTTCGAATCACAAAGCGGAAGTGTGTTTGCATTCTTTCGCGCGACCTCCACGAAAAACATCCCTCTCGATGAATTAAACATTCGCTCGGTTCGGATTTCAACGTTGCTCGCGTTTTCAGATGGAATACGTTGCATCGACGATGCTTGACTCGCTCATTTTTTATATCTGAAAACGTCATGCAAGTATGAATCTACGGGGGATCTTTATGCAAACGTGCTTTTGTATCTATATTTTCAAAACATAAAATTTATTTCTCGCAAATTTTGAATATACAATGCGAAGTTACAATTCAAGTACACAGAAATATGGTCTAACAACATAGATAGACAATTAATATACAATGTTCCTAGTTTTCTTGAAATACAGCTTTCTTAGAACAATTAACGTAACTTAAATTATTGATCAAATGCATTTCCAAAGATCTATAAACACACGCCATGTAAAAAAGTTTATTTTCGAGGGGGCAAAAAAATTCTTCGACGTCGAGGGGTTGACATCCGGTTCCGCGACGGAAACGTCGTACCTCGGTGAAAATATTGTCCGACGCAGCGTCGTCTGATCGGCGAAAACGTTCGCGTCCGTAAATCGAGGAATTCCCAGGTTGCAGGCAGATGTAATCGAACGTTTTCGATCTTCTGCCCCGCGAGAGAAGCTAGAGATATCGATTCCGTGTGCCTTCTGGTCCCATTACGGGTCCATCCGGACTTTACGGCCGACGCGTGGAATAATTTAAGAGTCGCAGCGAGCTGCCAGTGTGGCCGATAAAAATTTTCTACCCGCTAAACGCGATTTCAATTCGAACTTTGCCACCTTCTTCCCTCTAATCTTAACAACGCTTCGATCGTTTAAACTGTCCAAGTTAAGCTGCACTTTGTTACAACGCTCCGGCTGAATTATTGCCGAACAACCCCCCCATTGCAACCTTACTTTTATTGAATGCAATTGTTTGTTCTTGTGGGAGAATTTATTGGTTCTTAACGGTGTAACCAGTGATGGATATTCCAAGTTATTTCTCGTTATTATTTAAGAAATACAGGGGATTCTGGTCGCTTTGAAAATGTTGACTTTTAAATCTTAGTTAATTGGTAGCTTGCAAAAATAATAAAAAAAGAAAAATGTGCACCTGCAAATGCTTATCTCAGAAAATAAAGCGAGGTATTTAAAAAAGGATTTCTTTGGAGAATTTGAAATTGTCTCGCAAGCTGCTTACCCTGTTATGAATTCCTCCAAGGGAATTAGATTATCGCAAAGATTAGATCTAAATCGATGAACTCGAGAAAGAGCGGAAGCTGCAAGAAACTTGCAATTATCTAGCTTTCTAATTAGAGTTCATAGTTTCTTCGAATGCGACTAAGGAGATCAGTTAAATTAAAAGCGAGGTAGAAAACTTTCAGGAGGTCGAAATTCTGTTTCCCATTTTCGAGAAATTAAATGTTAAAAATCTCCAAAATAAATTTTGTTTATTGCACATCACCGGACGGCTGTTTCCTTTCTCTGCAATGTTTCTCTATTATATTTTTGATATTAAGTTAAAATTACGCGTTTTTACATTAAAAAGAATGGAGAGCAATATATTCTTTTTCACTATGGATTTATGTTACAATCCAAAATACAAATTTCAATTTTAGTCTGTTTAAACAAAAACGACGAATGCAGAGAAAAGCTACAGCTCGATACTAAAAACAATACACTTATCAGAGGAAAAAAAAGCAATTTTGAAAGTATCGTTTGAACAATCGAGCTCGATTCATCGTAACGCAGAAAGCCCTCTCGATTCCGCTCGAAATTTCATCGAGGAATTCAACTAATCCGGCGTCGAGTTATCGCGACAGATGGTCACGGACACCAGGCTTCGACGGTTTTTGATTTTTCAAAACGGATTAGAGAACGATGCGACGGATTAGCATCGTTGGTTCGGCTGCTGGATCGTTTTCACTGCGCGTTAAAAATCGAGCTTTGTTCGCGTCATTCTGTTCTTCTATTTTTTTCACTTTTCTATCGCATCGTACGCGTCCAGTCGTTTTCATTTAATTTCATTTCTCTCGACGCGGGGCGGTGTCAAAAATCATATTTCATTTCTTCTTTTTAATAAAAAAAAAAAAAAAGAAGAAATTTTCTCATGTAACTCTTTCAATTTCGCCCGATATTTTCGTCCAAATTGGATCAATCAAATTTTCGATCGGCTCGTAAATCTACGGTGAACCAGTAGCCTCGGTTACGGTTCTGATCGCACAGTATCGGTCGTTGGAAATCGGCTATCCTCTTAACGATAGCTTATCGTCGCCTTAATGGAAAATCCAGGATAACCGGTCCTCGTGATGCGGATCCATCCTGGATTTGCTCGTGCTTTCCATTCCGTCGTGTGATGTTCGCGAACGTGTCGTCGATCTCTCTTACTCCGTTGCCCGTAGCTTGTCAAGTTAGCCAGCTGTTAATTATTGACACGACGGCTTCACAGGCGACGCAGAGACGATTTAACACGGTGGGATAGCTTGCGAGACCGGCTGGAACACAAGGATTCGGAGGCGTATACAACGTATGCAAAGCACTTTGCTCGGAGAAGGAGAAAGGTTTCAGATTAGAGGAAGGTTCTACTTGGGTCACTTGCCAATAAGGCCGACTTAAGAGGGGATAATTAATCAAAGTCTCGTTAAGCTAATGTTCCGTACAAGCCACCTTACACCGGCACCCTTACCTTTCAATCCTTTCAATCTGTTCTTTAGAATGAAATCCTGAAAACATTACGACTGGTTAAGAATTTTTCGTTGATTCCTAAAGTGGAATAAATTTTATTGATTTTACGATTTAGAGAATTCAATCTAACTTGAAAAGAGGATTGGATTTAGTTTCTTTCTTCTGTTTTTATCGAAGATCGATGGGAGGAACATGGAGTGAAGAGATTCTTGGAATCCCACGATGATTGATTTCTGTGACAAGGGAAACAGTTTTCTTTATTTTATCTACAAATCATTAGTCACCCTTTTTCCCGACAGGATTCGTCCATTCGTTGTTTTTCTTCAGTTTTTTCATGATCGATAAAACAAAAATAATTTTTAGCAATACCAAGGTGGCAAAATGACTGGTTTCCAGTTTCTTATTTTAAATTATAAATTTTAACGAGGTATTTTTATTGAAATGTTATATTAAATTATGTTTCATCCTTTATCTATTTAGTAATCCACATTATTTTCAACTTAAAAATAATTCTGCATCAAACGTCGGTAGTTCTAGCGTTAAATTTAATCTAACAAAGTCACGGTTGCCAAATATTCGTAGATAGAGGTGTTTTTCATATTCCTCCTGAGTGAGCTTAGTAATTCTTATCCTGTTGAAAGACTCTTCTCCACTCTTCCTCGGTGTCTTATAAACTCGAGGAAATAAGACCGGTGTAGTCAGCCCAATCTTCAGCACGAAAACAACGTGAAACAAAAGGAGCGAGGGTATACGAAAGAATTTCTCTCTGTATACAGATTTTTCTTCGTCGTTTTGTCCGCGAAAAACTTGAAACTGTTGTTTTGTGCTTGTTTACGCTCTCGTTGCCGAAAAGGGTGTCTTGAAACATAAAGGGTGGTTTCCTCGACTGTCACACTTTGTCCCCACATCGTTGAGGTCTCGACAACTTTTTCCTCGAAGCTTGTTGAATTTTAACACGACTCTGGACAACCGAAGAATATTTCTTCAATAGAAAATTGAAGTTCTCGTTAAAATAATGATATAATTAATGAGATATCGAACTGATTGGTTAATTTATTTTTGATTCCAGTTACTAGAGGAACAAAAGAAATTCGATGAGGATATGCGACGACAGTTGAAGCTTCAGGAACAGGTTCACACCGACCATCTTCAAGAAGTATTATCTTTGAAGGAACAAGAAGCGGAGAGGACGTTGAAACAAACGCTTAGCGAGCAGTCGGAAGCGGATGCATTGAAGCACAAGGAACAGCTTGCGGCGGTGGTAGGCAGGTTACAAGGCCTCGAAACAGCCTTGAAGGGTGAGTGATTTTTATTATATTTATTTGTTTAATTCATCTATTCTCCAAGTCCTTGATTCGCCATACTCCATCGCCATTATCCTCGACAATTAAAGCCCTCCTGGAACCGTACCCTCTCGTTGCCGCTTCAATTTAAAGAGTAATTTCCCGTTTGTCCGACTCTATTTTCCGCTCGCCACAGCCACAAATCTCCGTGCGGTGGACACGCCAGGCCGAGTAGTAAATGTCCGAGAAAGGAGTAGTCTTTGTCCTGAAACACAGGAACTTCGAGTCTTCTGCTTTGTCGTCATACTCCATTATTTCCGTCGTTGTCTCTTAATTACACGGCAAAAACCTCGCGCCTTAAGTATCCCGCTCGTGTCCACCGGGGGTTAGTTGTTCACGACCCGACGTTTTCACCGGTCCAACGATGCCTTCTACGATTCTCATTCGCTTTGTACATACCGAGTCGGAAGTTTAGATCAGACGAAAGATTAAACAGCGTTTGTTACCTCTTTTGGGAGTACGGGTTCCCGGGTAACAACGGCGCCTGCGAAATTAAATTCGCAGTGCGATCCTCGATTAAATACGCTCCGGTTGTCTTCTTGCAACTACCACCCCCGATAATTTTAAACGATTCGGTGGTCCGAGATTCCCGACATCTCTCCTGATTTTGGTAAATATGCATAAAGGGTTAAACATCTTCGATTCGATATATTGTAGGAGGGGGGTGTTCTAAGTAATTTCTCGCAAGAATTAGGTGGCGGTCGACATTAGTTTAGAAAACATAACAAATCAAAATTGGACAAAATCAAATTCAACAATCATAGATCGTTTCTTTTTTTTTTTTAAATAAAATAACATAATTTTAGACCATGCAAATTTTATCGAAGGTACAAATATACCAGTCGTTTAATTCTTTATGCAATTCTACGCAACGCGCGTAATAAACTGCACATGAAAGATCTAGTGGAACGTAAGGAACTTCCGATATCTTAGGAGGGAAAAAATATTATACGATTTCCAATAGGAAGTCCCGAAGGGCGCTACGATACGAGAATATTAACCGAGCCTTCGGTACGGTCACGTACGAACCACGGCAACATTTCCATGCTCTGTTTCTTTCCGGATCTTGGCGGAGTTATAACAGCAATAAGCAAAACGAATTTCTCAGAAACTACTAAACCCTCTTGGTTTCTTAACTTCGTTAACGTTTACGTAGGTACTTTACCGTGCTTTCCGGCCGAGAATAACCGTTTCTTCGTTATTATGTTTGTCAGGAATTGAATTTTAATACGAACACCACTTTTCTGGCCCTTTTTCTGCTAATTTTCATGATCGAAGGAGAAATAATTTTGTATTTTGTGACAGGGAAATATCGGATAGATAGATGAATTATATTTTTCGGCGGGGTGAAAAAGGATAAAAAATCGTGGAACGAACGAAATTTTCTAAATGACTCGGTGTACCAGCCGCGCAGAACGACAAAAACACCGGCAATAAATCCGTGGGACGGTATAATGGCGCTGTTCCGGGGTAGTTCTCGTCCGAGAGTGAGGGGTTGATAGTTCCCTGGACAGTTGGAGAGTGATAAAGAGACGGGAGACAGATGGGATGAGGAATTGTTAAGGGGTACGGGCCGGCTCGTGTCGTGGTTTTACAAGCTCAGCAACGAACTAACATATGCAGCATGAGCCGCAATTATAACTTTCAGCATTCGTCTGTTCGCCGGGGATGTTATTGGGGGTTGCTGCGAACGTTGCCGTTTAAGAGTCGCTGACGGAGAGAAGTCTCTTTAAACTTTTACCTTTTTTACTTTCTTCGAAGCACCGTATTCCGGCTTGATTATGAAGAAGGATCTTAAAACTTTATTTACCGGGAATAAAATTTTATTTGCAACGAGAATTTTTTTAAATTGACTGCTTGCGTTTCTCAATGGCAGATGAAAATTTCCATTGTCTGATATTTTAATATAAAAACATTCCACGTTGGATGACTATAGGGTAAATGAATTCAATATTATTTTATTAAATTAAAATTAAAATATATAGGAAATTGGAGAAATTTGCAGGAAAGTAATTCAATCTGTGATAAAACAACTCCCGAAACCGAGTGTTTTTCTTTATCTATCGGGAATAAAATTTTATTTGCGACGAGAAATTTTTTAAATTAACTGCTTGCATTTCTCAGTTCCATTGTCTGATATTTTAATATAAAAACAGTCCACATTGGACGACTATAGGGTAGTTAATGAATTAAATATTATTTTATTAAATTAAAATTAAAATGTCAGGAGAAATTCACAGGAAAGTCATTCGATGGATGACAAAGCAGCCCCGAATACCGAGTATTTTCCCGAGAGGAGCCTCGTATGACCCAGTGAACGCGTTGTTTTCGCGTCACAGCTTCGTCGATCCTCTTTAAGCTCGCGTTTCGTGTTCGTCCAGATGACTTGCCGCGCGAAAGGAAGGAACAGGACCGAGCTAGAGGCAGATAAGGGTGGAGGAGGATTCTGGGCGGAACTGTAAATCGTTGGGAATACGGCGGGGAAAGCAGTTAAGCGTGTATTTCCAACTTTTTACCCTCGGACTGTAAAATCAGCATCGCTTGGAAAAATTGAAAAGAACATCGGTGGTTAAATAAGAAGATTGCTCGTAAATCACCCTAACATTCTTTATTAAATTACTCCGTGTAGACTTCTCGTTGAAATTTTCTTCCAACTGCTTCTAATTCCACCTTCGTGTTTTTTTCTTACTTGATTAAAAATTCTTTCTGGATCTCGGTCTCTATTTTCAAAATATCCTGCAACTTTCATATATACCGTTCTGTAGAGACGAAAATGCCAGGGAGGAACTTTTCACTTTCGGCTAATTCTTGAATTTTTCACGTGTTTTGCAATTTACCCACACTCCGATGCGGATGTGCAATGCGGGTTGCGTTACATATTTTCCTTGAAACGAGGAATATATTTGCCACCGCTTAAAATTAATCGTCGTCGAAAAGCAGGTGGTAACGGTCTGCTTTAATTAGAGCTCGTAGCTCGCTTCGACTATGAATAATTAAATCGAACAGGGTCAAGATTAAGTAACTCCGAAACCTTGGAAACAAGGCTTGCAAATTTCTACGATCTTCGATCTTTCTTTTTTTCCATCAAATAGTTGTCCCGTTTTTTCGAAAGAGGATCGTGGGAATCGAGTGACGGAATTTTTACGGTCGATCGGATAAATCCTAGGCGAGGAGGATAATGGCCCCCTCGCCGTCCGATGGAAAATCAAAAAGTATGAGTCAGGCCGCGGGCGAAATTGATTGGCCCGTATCGACGTAGATTGTCGTATTCTCCCTTTATGACGTGCCCGCGAGAACCAGAGTGACGTTTATTGCTTGCAAAAATGTTTTTACCGTCCTCCTTTTCACACACCCCCTCGCGTCACATCCTGTCAACGTCCTATCTGTCGACGTTCGACAGCCATCAACGATGTCTTTGTTAAAAGAAATAATATTTCACATAATTTTCTTATCGCGTTTCGGACGATAAAGTCAATTTCTCATCGCGATGACATTAATTTGTCAGGAAAATTGTAATCACTATCAACGGGGATACGACGGTACAAATACCTCAAGCATCGTGTACTCGGTACACGGCTTCTGCACGCTAACGTATACTAATTAATTACATTCATTATACCTATTAGCGACGCTCTTGCACGGCGCAGCATCAAACGATCTAACGGACGTCGTGTTCAGGATCCATGATTCCAGCCATTCCGACATGTAACGAGACAAGATATTAAACGCATCTCGTCTTGCTGACGGTTAACTTCGTTCCAATTTATCTCCTGTAAAATACGATCGTCTAGTTTGATTAAAAAAAAAAGAAAAAGAAAAAGATAATTTATGAAATATTCGGTATTAAATTATAACGAGTGATGTATGTTATCTTTCGACCTAGATCGTTGAAAATTTCTGGTCCCAGAGGGACACACTGGCAATTCCTTGCTGCTCTTTACCCCGTGCTACGCCGATTAATTACGCGAGTAATTAAGCGGCCCGTGTCCAGAAATTACGGCCATTATTCGGTTTGTCAATTAGCGTTGGCTAGGATGGTGCACCACCCTGCAGACTCGATGACACCTGGGAAAACCGCGTGCAGTTTTTACGAACCAACCCGCGTTTCTAAAAAGGGCTCGATGTATTTGCGGTTCCATCGCTCCATTGTGGCAAACGCGGGGGATCGTTGGTTATGGATAATGGATTTTAAAATTGCGTTCGATGGTAATCGCGAGCGGGTAACGATTGCGCTGTTTAATTCACCTTTTGTTATCAGTTGATGATAGAGAGGTGTGATTAATTTTGATAAATTGTTATTCCGACGTTCTCCAGCGAGTGAAAATTCGGTGCCGTGGAATTGAATGAGGTCCCAAGTGATGCAGATTCGATTAAAAAAAATATTTGGGCGTATAGCGTATCGAAAAATTAAAATATCGAGGTGTAGAATATTTAAGTAATAATAGAAACAAAGTCCATTACCTACAGAAAATACAGATACGAATTTCACCTCGAAATTTCAATTTCACGAAACAGCTGAGGAACCAAGTTGCATAAAACGGTAATTGTTAACAGTCCAAGCAGGCAACATCGTTGATGTTGAAGTTCACGCGTGCACTGGATAATTAATTACCAGTCGAAATACGAGATTCATCGTATCGCTTTATTGTTGAGGCGTTAATTAATCGTAACGAGGTAGGATGGAAGGAGGTGGTTGAACAGGGTGGATGAAAACGATATGGTGAAAATGGTACATCGTAATAAATCTCCGTGACGCGTCACGTCGACGCGTTTTTGTTCTCATGATACTTTCCGGGGCTCGTGTAATTGTTCGACGGATGCCGGCGGAGAAGAAAAAAAAGAAGGCTATGAAGAAAAGAAGATGGTCCAGTTAACACCTCGAGGCTGGATCGTTAATGGGTTTTCAGTCGCTTCGTGGCCTTCTTCTTTGCTGGTCACTTTAATTACTCCTTTAATCGTTCGCCAACCGTTTATGTGCGGATCTATTGACTGTATCGCTTCCTTCTCGCTCGAACGATCCTTTTGATACCACTTAAACGCGCTTTGTCGGATGTTTTTTGTAGAAAATTTTCTATTTTAATCGCTACTTTAAGAATCTCCATCGGATCTTTTATTATTTGCAATCGAAATTTTCTATTTTAAAATTTCCATCGAATCTTCCGTTATTTGCAATCGAAATTTTATATTCTAATCGGTACTTTAAGAATTTCCATCAAATTTTTCGTCATTCGCAATCTTCAACTATTCTAAGCATCATCGGTGATCTGAATGTCCGAGCCTCAAACGATCCGGTGTCCATCATTAAATGGGTTAATCGTCGAAACAACTGGGAAAAGCTTGAAAAAAAGTTTACAAAATGCTTGTAAATGGTTGTGCAAACGGGCCGGGATGATGGTTGAACGTAGTTCGATCGTTTTATTTCCTGCTGGCACGTAGACGAGCTACGTTAAAACAATTATTTACGGCTGTCGGGTATCCTGGTCGAATAAAATGCTGTTTTCGGTTCGGTTTACGCGCTCGTGGTGGTGTCCCGCGGGGGATTTGCCGTTTCGTTGACTCGAAAAAGAGTCGCGAGTCGTGTATCGAGAGGTGAAATCGATTTGCGTTTCGGCCCGTTCGCAATCCCCCCCTTTTGTCATGCGTCGAGACCGCATCGTTACGACCGTCAATGCGAACGTTCAGAGAACAGGGTCACGCAGCCGCGCGAACGTCTGGTAAACAGGGGGTTGAAATTGCTGGACAGTTTGGAAATGAGAAAAAGATAGCAACGGAAAAAGAAGGGTGAACGAGCATTCGCGTAGCTAGCCAATAACCAGGGTAAATCATAGAGGATGGATCATTTAAAAATTCTGTAATTTTAATTGCCTCTAAGCTTGTTTCCCTTCCTTTCGATTTCTTCGCAGGACATTCCCGAGATGGGTAATCGATGTTTAATTAGAGGCTCGACAAACACGAGGAGGGTGGTTCTGTAATTTGTAATTAATGAACTGCAAATCGACTATCCGTTTGCAAGGTGTTTCCCCCGGTCAAGCCTGTCGTTAATGTCGGCCAGAAGAAAAACGAGATCCATCTGGATCAAGTGCTCTCGCTCCGGTGATTTATTATACGCGTCAATCCGGATAACTTCCTCCCCCGCCGTTGAAGTAACCCGGTTCGCAAAGTGCCACCCACTGGGCCGACCCATGCCTGTGGTTGTCGATGGTTTCCCGCGGTGTTCGAACGGCGACGATCGAATCACGAAACGATAGAAAACGCTTCATCGATCTCTGCAACGTTTGATCGCGAGGTCCTTCAACGCCAAACTCCATTCCTTTTCGGTACGGTTGAATTTCAGTTTCGGGTGGTTGAAGTTCCTTTTTTTTTTTCTCTTTTTTCGAGTGGCAGAGGTTAATGGTATCCGGGGATGAAATCAGTTTGAGTGATCGAAGTTTTTTTTCTCTTCTGTTACTTTGTATTTACCTCGAAGAGGGTTTTTATTTAGGGGTTGAAGCGCATTTCTGACAGAAGGGTTTATATTCTTTATATTCTTATATTATTATATTCTTTCCTTTCTTAAAATTTTTGTTCTAATTACTAATACTCTAATGGATGCCGAGTGATTGGTAACAGTTTTCCTTTTAAGAGAACGATGCTTTACGTCGGAATTTCGAAATCAACAGCTGTTAGATTTATACGAGCCGTGTCCAGAAACTGGGACGAGATGTAACTCCTTTTTTCCCTCCCCCTTCTCGTTCGAAGGTATAAGAAATTGGTAGAAGAAGAAGTTAAACGTGCTTGAAGTTGACGCTTAAGGCGGATGTCTAACTTTTTCCACCACTCGCAGCTGCCCCTCTTTTTTCTTCTTCCTATCTCTTTACACGATAAATCCGATATTCTCATTATTCGTAGTCGGGCTTACAATTTCTTCGTTACTTCTTTTTATACGCTTTTTCTTTCGAAGTTAAATTCGGTACTCAGGGAACGTTTATTTATGATAATACGGGTCATAATTTTGCCAATATTTAATGGCACTCTTGCAATTTTTATCAATACGCGATAATAAAATTTATTTGATCCCCTTCACAATCCCCGAATCTAAAAATAATACACCTTATCAGTGTTTCCAGCCGTTCGATCAAACAATTCCACCTAAAGCGACTGATTATGCGAAATCAGAAAGGGTACAGGGTCAATCGTGCGAGTAATCTAGATAACGAGATTACCAATGGAATCTAAAGGAATATAATAAAAGGTCGGTAGAGAAAAATTGGCTGTTTCTTCGGGGCGTTTGTCAAAGTGGTATCCGAAGCTCTCGACGTGGCATTGCTATTGTGTGTCGAGAGACGAACGGCCTCGAAGTTCGCAAACTTACCGTGTTACTCGGGTTATTTATTTCTCTTCGATTCTTGCCTACCCTTTACCTGATTTATGCGTCCCCTTATTTTTCTACGCTCTTCGAACCCGAAAAATCAGTGCCTTTTTTCCTGATCACTGTTACGTGTTTTATATAAGAGCCTTTGCAGAAAGTATGTATTAACAATTCAAAATGCAATTTAACAACAGAGAGTATGTACTTTGGCATTGCTTCTTGTCGCCTAATTTCGTAGAATATTATATTTGAAGGGTGACATTATACTTTGAAAGGCTGTCGCTAAAAGGTATCAGCTATATTAAAGAAAATTTAATGTGTTACATATAAGAGTACACAGAGGGTTGAAAAGTATTGTATCTGGCAAGAAAGGGTGAAAAGCATCATTTTTCTTCTCTGTCAATTTACATATTAACCATTTCGGGGTGAAGTATTCTTAACCTTTATCTGACATTATGGGGTATGAGACGATTCCAGCTAATTCAGCTGTTTTATTCTTTAAAATTTTAGTTCTTTATATGAAAAATTGAAAAACTTCTGAATTTTTTCGATCATCCGCAAAATGTTAATCAATTACGAATGGCGGTTTCTGTTTCAGCACGCTTGGAGGAGGAGAAAGCAGCATCGAATGCACAGATTCTTTGGTCGGCTTGCCTGGCGTTGGCTCGGGCTATTAAAAATGCACCGGTTGGCGCCCCAATCGAGGAAGTAATCAGGCCCCTAGAACCGGAAATCAAAGCCGTCACCAAGGCAGCACGTAAGCGATTCGTCTTTCATCGAATATTAATGTTTACAGAGTTCTATTAGATCTCTGGCGAATTAGTTGCTTCGCTCTGTAGGGGAGTAGAATTTACGACGAAGGAAAATGGCAATAATTATTAAATAACATGCTCTTTAACAAGATAATTCAAGGAATAAAATGAAAAGAATTCGCAACCCTTCTATCAGGATATTTTCCATAGGAATCTTAATTCGTACCTCGAATCGAATTTTTCTCCTGGATTTACTTTAAATCCTTTCGTTCTTGATCCCTTCAAATTGTTCCTATAATTTCCTTCGTTCGTTCGAATCTGAATCGAACATCCACGCGTAGTAATATTCATAGTTGCTGATCCTATATTTAACGATTAATTTTTGTCGACCACCAGCAATTCAAATAATTTTTCGCCACGATTTATGCGCTAAAATACGCGCTATTATGAGAATACGCATTGCACATAAATGAATAAATTTTCGGACTGCAGAGAGAGTTGAAAGCGGTTCGAAGTTTTCACAGCCATTTATCAACGTTTCGTAGGCAAGCGTTTCGCAAAATTGCAAAGTAATGTATTCCCGACGAAGTAACGGCATCTGGTGTAATGCAGTTTGTTACGCGAAGGGGTGTTGCTGGATGTTAATCAATTTTCAGGCCGGAAATTTCGGTTCGTAAAATTCACCAATAATTCCGCCACTCTTTCAACAGCTGTACCTTTTAATTGTGGGAATAAACTTGATTTGTTAAACTGTTTCGTTTCTCGTGCATTTTAAAATTCATTTCAAGTGAAATATTTTTGTGCAAGTTTTCCTGTAAAATATGCAGTAAAATTCAGGCGAAAAATTCGCTATTCCGTATCAAAGTGCTTGAATTTAGAGCTTAAAAAGTTGTAAATTTATGAGCTATTGAAAAATTTCATTTTATTTCGTGTATTTTGCAAGTTTTAATATTTTATATTAATGTCGATATCATACAGTGAAATACAATGGATCATTTTAGGCTCTTGAAATCCGAAAATTTTGTCTTGTGCTTTATAATTAACTAAATAATTACTAACGAACAGTGTGATGCGCTGTTTCAGCCAAGGAGGATCCTCTGGTGATCGCAGCCATTGGAGGCATTCCCGAGGAGGCTGCAAAGAGAGGGGTGTTCCCTGAAGACATTCTTCGTGCCAGGTTCCTCAAAGTAATTTAACCTTCACCAAATTTTTTGAAATAAATTAATGCTTTTATATTTTTTTTCATACCACTCCTCCATAAAACTTTCCATATTTTTACTCGCTCTTTTAAAATCTGAACTTTCCTGATAAATTCCTTTTCGTTCTTCAACAAAACTCAATCTTTTCGATATGAAAAATCTTATCGACGTCCGATTGGCGGATGAAAGATAAAGCTACACTCGTTTTCAAAGAGAGGCAAAGAAATTTACGAGGTGGAAATATTTTCCAGGTGGAAGAGGTGGCGAGACGATTGGCCATGGTTCCCGAAGAGGGTGCCGCCTTGCCTATCTATTTCCTTAGCTATCTTCAGAACTTCTTGATGATCAAGAACGCCAGTCCCATTCCTCAGAGCGAGATCGAGGACAACCCCATCGATGTGGAGTCCCTCAACACCTACGACATTCTTCACCGAGCTAGGTAACAGTCTCTTTTCACTCGAACGGGTTTTTAGCTTCCAACATTGATATTCCTTCCAATACATTGCACGTCTACCACACCGGTAAACATCTAAAATAGAGCTGGATATTTTTCTGATCCTGATATTATCATTTTTGAACTTGAACGATACCAGAATTTAATATTTCAATATTCATATTAAATATTTTGCCAGTGGCACGATGGGGCACGATCGTGGCACGATCAGTGACCTCCAGTAATATTTTTTATATGGGGTGTCTCAGGTCGAATAGTACAACTGAGCAGGGTGATAAATTTTTTGTTTATATTATCTTTCGTTTTCCAAAAATGCGTTAAAAAATATTATTTTTCTTTATGTAAATTAAGGACCTGTCCAGTTGTACTATCCAAATTAAAACACCCAGTATGCACGGGTATAACAAAAGTACAGTGATATTATCTTGTCACGATTCCCTCTATATTTATCTGCATATCATAACAAAGTTTCTCAGCACTGTTAAGTTAAACATTATCTCGAGGAGAGGAACATTGCAGCAGCATACTGCGTATCGTTGCTGTGGCCTGCCTAATTTAACCCCCGTGTACGTGCGGTTAATGTTGCGACACGGTGTGACGCTGCAGCAAACGAGCCTTAATGCTGATACCGCAACGAAACCGTGCCTGTGAAAAAGATAACGTTATTCCGACGCTTGAACGGAGAATATTTTCCTCTTACAACAATTCAAACAGAACAATAGGTACTTTTCGCTCGTAGAATATCTTATGTTCTTATAAATTCTAATTAGAATCAGAGATTAACATTTAGAAGTGTCGCGAAGAGCAATGTGAATCAATTTATTCGTCACGATTCAAGGGGGTTAGAATCATTGTATCTTTAACAGGCACTTTTCCACAGCTAGGGTGGAAAAGGGTTGAACAAAGGACGGAACGTGTCGCTAAACAATGAACCGAACGACAATATCGCGATCGAATCCCTGTGCAAACTCGTAAGACGAACAACGAACGGCGCAAAGTCGCTGGGTGTACCGGAAAATTAATTTCCTTGTTCACAGGCCCGACGTCTCTTTTCTCTTTTCTTCGTAGAAAACACCGTTTCGCCAGCTAATTAGCAACCACGTTTGTACACGCGTTTCCATCAACATTTTCCGATTCGCGACCCGGTTTTACGACTGGCCTACCCGTAAAGCGGCCAGAAACGAGCTACGTATAATCGCGTCTAGCTTTACGCAGCCGTTAATAAGAGAAAACTACCCCCATAATCCATTTTCAGCAGCGAACAGGCTTGAAACTTGGCGAGACGTGATTTTGTGGCCGTGAAAATGAACCCCTTTTTATGGCGTTTAACAAGGGGTATTAAGTGTTCCATCAATGGTGATTAACATCAAATGATGGAACAGTAATTTTTCATCCGAATTATGATATTAAATTTAAATTTCCTTGAAAAATTCCACCGTTGTATACGTTTTATAGATCTGGGTCACGATTGACCCAGTCACCCCCTTTCGGGGTTTAACTCTTCCGTTGCGGTCATGGAAATTTGTGTATTAAATTATCTAACTCGATATTCGAGCATAAATGAAATAATTTCATTCGTGAAATTTGGTTTGCAGATTTTCTTTTTTTTTTGCATTTGAATTTTTTTTTATATCATAGACACACAGGTTACTCAAACAGTAAATGCGGTATCTAAACAACCCTAAAACGAAATAAGAATAAATATACATAAAGTATAATGAATTTTTTACCGAGCAAACTATCTCGATCATAGTGACGCAAAAGTGAAAAGCAAATGAGTTAAAGTAAACAAATTGGAAACGAATCTGATCAAACTGCTATAACTAATGAACGAACCAATTTAGCGCTAATCCACTTGAATTTGGATAGAACGAGGTGGCGATAAACAAAGGCTTTAAAATGAAATCACCTCGCTCCGGGGAAATATGAGCCGATACTCGATGGGGGTGGTCTCGACATGCTTTTTTTTCTCTCCCTCGGCAACGAGCTGAGATAAGGCCACCAAGGAGGACCATAAAGGTAAACGACTCTGTTCTTTGTCAAACTGCACGTGACGGATATTACGGCAGGTGTTTTCGTTTCTGCTGTTGAGTCAGAAATATTGCCTGGCCTTTCTACCTCGATCCTTAGGAGACCCGTGAGGATAATTTATGGGGTCGACCAGAGCCGTTCACATGACAGGAAAACTGTTGCTCTATATACCTGCAACAGGGTAAAACATTGAACTAATTAAACCAGTGATCAATTTTCTAAATTGCTCTTTTAGAAATTTAAAAAATAGAAGTAGGAAAGCGAATTTAATTCTATTAACACGTTCCCTGTTACATGTACCGTTTCCGGTGCACTCTGAATTCAAATAATTTATCAAAAATTATTATTTGCTTTTTCTAATAATTAGTATTAAATTTATGTTAATGTGGTGGGGAACGTGTTAGGAAATTCATTGCTACAAGTAGTATAGTCCCCTATATAGTCAGACGCAATCTCAAATTCAAACAGGTCCCTAAAACGATTTATCAAGAATTATTATTTATATATATTTTTTTTAAATAATATAAAATTTACGTTAATGTCGAGGCTAGAGAATTAAATTGAGGAGAAATTCATCGAAGCCAGAGAGGCAGAATGGTAAAACTATATGTATATGGGGAAATATTAAAAATGCGGGTACATCCGGTCCTTGAAATACGACGATTTAACAGAGCACCGGATTTACGGGGCGCGTATTGCACCGAAAAAATACGGCATGCATAAAGAAGTGGACGAATAAAACGCGGCCGCAAATATGCATATCATGGATACGGGGGTCGCGGGCGTCGCACACGAGGGGATTAAAAAAAAAAGGGGGAAAAAGAACTGCGTGAATTCGGGTTGAACTTACTAATTTAACAAGTACGTATGAGGGTGAATGAAAAAAAAAAAAGAAAAATAAGAGAGAGAAACGGCCGAGCAAACACGGTTCTCGCCGTTTGAAGATACAAATTTGCATGGGGCACGTTGCTGTGGTAGAAAATACAAGTACCAAGGTGAGATATTTACTAATTAACTCATGCACTTTCGAAGTACCTGGTGTCCCATATGTGTTCCATATTGAAATTGTTTTATATGAAACTATGTTTTTGAGAAAATTGACTTTAAATGAATTTGTATTTTTTTAAAATTCTCAAATCTGAAAATTTTATTCAGATTTTTATAAAAATCTGAAATGGTATAATAAATAGACAAGCGTAGACCATTAGTTTTGGATCTGTTGAATATAAATAAAATAGAAAAAGCTGGGAAAATACTTTTGCAATGAACTCGTTTCGCTGATTTCTAGGTTGGAAGGTAGTTGGAATGATTGGTAATATGAAATGGACAATTTCTATTGAGGATTTTTTTAGGAACGTATGAATTGAAATAAATTTGAAGAGATGCATAAACTGAAAGCTTTTGTTAAAATCACTGCAATTACTCGAGGACGAGTGAATTCTCTCGCTAAACTGATTTTCACTGATATTTTCCGGCAAACTAATATTTTCATATTCTCTCGGAATAATCCTTGTTCATGTTAACCCGTTTAAGCGAATTTTTCACGCTCGACAATTGTCGGAAAAATACGCAATGGATAAATTTTAGTGAAATTATCCGTGCCATGATCGAGCTTTTTTTATTTATTCATGATCAATTGTTTACAATAAAATAAATAACGTAATTATCTTTAATTCTTTCTATTTCATTTATTTTTTAGCTACTCGTGTGCACTCGAGAGCCATTAGTTCAGTAATTGTCTCTGTGTCTGACCATGCACATGGCTGTACTACTTACAGCAATTAATTGTCCCATAATCTTAGATTTATTGCTCCAATTCTTTAATGGAAGATGTCTGTGTATTTAGAAAATTGGTATAAAATCTAGAAAATTTAGGAAATTCAAAATCATTTCCTAGGTGTAAGTAGTATAACCCAATGATAAGTCAGACATCGACGTCTGCGACATTATCCGCTTGTACTACTTAAACTTCTCTTCAAATTAAAAGTTGAGTAGTATTTCTATGTTACTAATAAACAATTTGAATGTGCAATAGTCCTATTTTGAACCTTGAATTGCAATTTTCATTAAAAGAAATATCTTAATTTATTAACTTTTCCTTGTCGCTATTGCCTGGCTGTGTTAAATCGAATTTGAATGAAAGAGCTAAGTGGAATTTCACGGGCAAAAAATGGCGGATAATCTCGAAAGAGACGTTTTTGTCGGTGTAGCTCGATGGTGAGAATATTCCAGCTACGAAAGGTTATTCGCGGATCAGGTAGAGCGTTCAGAAAAAGAATTGTAAGAGGAACCGCGATAAAACGAACGTTTCACAACTTCCAGCCAGTCAGCTTTAAGTTTTTTTCATGGAAAATATTTATATTTCCAAGTGCTTCCCACGGATTTGTCTCTCTATACTCCGGTTCTTGTTCGTGGAAGTTGCATCGAGTACTAGAAACAAAACAGGAGAAGCCGGTACAATTGTCTTTATATAAAGTTTCCTTTTTCTCTTCGCGAATAAAATTGTGATTCGCCTTTAAGAGTTCTATAGGCACCTTTTTCTTAGGAAAAGAATATCGCCTTTTAATTATATTTCTAATCATAAATTATATTTCTGTATTTTCATATTTCCAATATTTATATTTCTGTTTCGGTTTCATTGTTTCATAGCGAAGCAAAATTGATTATGTTTGAATTTAGAAATTCTCGTTTAAACGAGACCTAATTGAAACTCTCAAAATGACTATCTTGTTCGATCGAGGCTGGCTCGAACTTGACCAGCTAATTAGCCCAGAGTAGATTCTCGACTACTCGCGCACGAAACGATCTTTGAGGGAAATTAAAATCGCCCCCCGACGATAGTTCAAATATTCCCTTGAAAGTATAATGGGATCGAAGAAGTTCCGTGGTAAAATTGCACGAAATTCAATTGGGATTCCAGGATAACCATCCTCTCACCTCGACTTTGTGTTTGATGAAACTTGGACGGTTCGTTCGGTTCTAAATGCACGCGATTTTCCTTTACTTATAGGGTATCAATTATTTTCTAATCAAGTTCAAATTAATCCTGAATAAAGTCAAATATTCATTTCGGAAGAATCAATTATCAATTTTAAAATTGCAATAGAAAAAATTATTGCGACAAGAATGCTTTCTTAAAATACTAGCGTTTCAACTAGGGTTGTCGTCGATAAAAAGGGGGTCCCGGAAACGATGCGCTCCGTCATCAAATATTAAACCTTAATATCGAAGGAGAGCTTCCGGTCGTCACGTAGACGGTTCGCACTCGCTGCTACCTACAAACCGCACTGCGCTTCCGGTTAAAAAATTCACGTTTCTCCTTGCCTTATGCATCCCTATCTTCTCGTGTGTTGGCGGAAAAACTACCCCTGGCCGGAAATGAATGTTTTACGGGTTGACTGGCACAGTGGATACAACCATAAGTACTTGTAGTATCATATACGACGGTATACTTTACCAACTTATTTATTTAAAAAGTTACTTCTGAATTGTACTACAATTTAACGATATTCAAACATTTACATATTCTAATTTATTTATATTTCATTCAGTTGTAAATAGTTTTATTTTCAACAAAGGAAGATCAGATATTTCTTTGCCAAACTTTTGTTTACAGTTCATACAATTTTAACACAGTTCCTTGGGAAGAACTCGCTGGCTTAATTAAGTCGTTAATTCGTGGAATCTAATTAGGGGATTGCAAGGTTCCACCTCCCGGGATTTTGATTCATTCTCGTTTATTTTGTCGAGTCCTCCGTTTCGCTTGGTACACAGTCATATTTAATGGAAAAAAAAAAAAATAGGAAACATCCTCTCTTTTGTATTCCTCGCAGCGAAATTGAAACTTCTCGAAACGAATACTGCTTCCTTTGATCCATGTCCACGTTCCGAGAATGCAAATTTTTGCAAATGTTACGCGTTTGTGAACTGTTCCATCGATTGCTGGAGAGTTATAAAACCACTAAAGTAACCTCCATTTCGTTTTATAACTTTCAACTCTATTCCGAGCTTAATGCATTCGATTCTAAATGGATTACTTACAGAGTCCTTAACGATTTCTATTCTCTTTTTACAGTTCGAAAATTGGCCTTAATTCGATACGCAGAAATATAAATCTCTAATCGCACCCCTGCAATTATCATCCATCTTCCTTGAAATTTTATCCCCGTTTTCACGATACCAGGAAAATAAGATTGGTTAAGCAGACCATTCCCGTTTCAATGAACACGATCAGCCACGAAACAACCCTCTATCACAACCAGTCTCTCTCCCCCATTGAAATTACGCCCACCCCCGTTAATTAATTCCGGAGGAAAAAAGGGATGGTTGGTCCCTCTCGACGATTCATTTTTATTTAACGATGCTCACGAACAAGACAGTCGAGCCTCGACTTCAGCATCGAGATATCCAACCCCATCTTTACCACCCTTCGAACCAATTAATCGATACCGTCGAGAACTTCGTCGAGAGCGATCGACGACACGGCCGTTACATTAACCCTCGACCTGGAAATCGGCTCGAGGTTCGATGAAAAAGTTTCCATCTCGCTTAGGAACCCCCCCTACCTCTGAAAAGGGGGTGCGTTTTCAGGCGAATTGCGCGCCGGATGTCGCTAACCGTTCTAACCTTCTTGAAACTGTCGTATAGAAACACAGAGCCGGGGGTGGAACCACCCTTCGTCCAGAAATCCCTCGAAACTATCGGCGGACAAAAGCGAACCTTCTCAGTTTCCGCTCCCGATATTAGTGTTGTTGACTTCAGACAAAAAAAATAATTTTTCTTTCAAAGATTATGTAGGAATTTTTTCAAGCTTCTTCGCAGAAAATATTTTAATGTTTGGGGTCCTAAACGTCCCAGAGTGCCAGCCATGATATTCTGGTGAAGTGTGCCAGTAAAGGGTTAGGAAATATATCTTTTTTAAAGCTGTCACTGTAGGAATAGGCAGGCTTAGTGTTAAAAATCACTTGATATCAGGAATAAATTAATTCCTTAGTATCACTACTAATTATTTAGTGGTTTTTTTGTTTCAGGTACTGGCTCGATCGTGGTGACTTCAAGATGACCCTTCGCTACATGAACCTGTTGAAGGGCGCACCGAAATCAGTCGCCAAGGACTGGATGAACGAGACGAGGATTCTTTTGGAGACCCAGCAAGCCGTGGACACCTTATTGGCTTACGCAGGTGCTATAGGTTTGGTGTTCCTCGGTGCTGGAGACTCGAAGGTCAGTCGAAATAATTAGAAGAAATTTGTACGATAGACTGCCACCTTGTACCGGATGAAATCTAAAAAGACAGACATTAATTAGGGGGAATTTGTTAAAGTGATTCCGTGAAACTTCGTTCGACGAGATGATATTGTTCCCAATTTATTGTGTCCCTGGAGTTCATGGTACGGACTGTAAATTGAAAACTAGCCTTTTATTTTTATCATTTCCAATGAACGTGAAAGGAACTTTCTGATAAAACAAATAATAGGTGCATGGCGTAAGGAGAATAAGTGTGATACACTTTACTTTCTTTTTTCTCGTGAAATCTGTTTTATTTTTCATTCGTGAAGTTCGAACGATGTAACCGGAACCTAATCGCAAATAAAAAAAAAAAAAAGAAAAGAAATGGAAAAACTACAATTTTCTTCCTCGGTGTCTTTCGAGAAAGAAACGATCCAAGTACCTAAAACATTTTTCTCCAAGTTTGATTTTTCCAGCTTTAACCGTCGGCTCTTCGTTTGCTTGCAGTAAACGAACACGCGAATATAAAAAAACACGAAAACCTCCCCCAAAAAAAAAAGAAAGTCAAACGAGAAACACGGTCGTTAAGCCGGGGAAAAAGAAACGAGAACCGACATCAGCCTCGTCTCACAGAATCCTCTCGTCCCTTCTGAGATTCCTCGAAAAAAAAAAAAAAAAAGCGACACCGAAACACCGAGAGCAGAGGGAAAGAAGGGGAGAAAGAATAAAAAACAGTAAAAAAAGAAAAATAGCCACTTGAGGAACGTTCCTTTCGTTGTTGTTCGAAGTGTTCCAGCTCGTCTAGTCTCGTAAAAGCTGAGCGTCCACGCGATCGTGCGAGACGATTGCGAGCTCAGCGAAGAGCTATCGCGCGGATACGCGCCTGGGCGAGGCGACGACGACGAAGAGGTACATGGTCTTACGATAGCATTCAACGAACTACACACGATATGTACAACTGGTGGAGCGACGTCGAAGAGAAGAAGACGACCGTGAAGGGAGGAGAGCAATTCAAGATTTATTTGCAGCTGAATGGGGGTGGCAAAGGGAGGATTTATTTGGTTTGTACGAAAACACGGGATAAATAGGCTTAACCCTTTCGTTGATGGATGATCGAATCATTGAGACATTGCGATACGCCGACGCTCTGATGACTGGTGTTATTTTGTTTTTGTACAGAACACTTTTATGTACTTGTGAAAATTATTTGTAATTAGGTCATTGATTATCCAGATAGGGTGAGATGACGAAGGCTATGGAGATTTATACAAAGGTATCATTTGTTTTTAATAATAGGATTGCAAGATTCTTTGTGTGACCGAGCAAGGACAGACAATTATTATTTCTATTTTTATTAATATATTTCAGTCACTGGTTTTAATAGCGAAAGGGTTAATATCGATGGGTCTGATCTTTCCTATATTTTACAGTTTAATAAAAATTGTGTATGTGAATTTATTTGAAATGAAATCGACGATAGGATCGATATTAAAATTCATTATAAAATAACAGAGGACCGTGTGAATTTCGAACGTACACCGAGGCAATGAAAACGAGACTTTCTGTAAATTTTTCCAGAGGTGAAAAATAGAAAGAAAAAGCAGAAAGAACCTGGACTAGCAAGCCAGCATATCATCCGTTTTATTTTGCGTTCGTGCCAGTTAATCCTGGATTTGCCGCACGAAGGCGTCGCCATCTGGGCCCGTGTGTGACCCCGTTTCTAACGAAAAACCAAGAGCTTTTAAAAAGGTTCGCGATCTCGACTAAATCCCACCTGAACTATTCGTTTCGAGCAACATCGTCGAAATCTTTGCTTCACGGGAGATCTACGATAAAATGAACCGCCTTTAGAATCGCCTGATTCTTGTATCCTGAAACAAATATAAATTGAAATTTTATTTTTAACGTATCGATGGGCATCCAATGAAAAATATAAAAATTACTAATTTTCCCTGATTTTAGGATGGCACTCGAAGGGTGAAAATATTCATAATATAAATTTATTATTTCAAAGTAGATCTCCAATGAATTCCAATATCTTGTTCCATTGCAAAATTATTAGGGAAAATTCAGAAAATTGTTTCCATATATTTTTATGATTCGAAGCGATACAGGATCATCTGATCGAGAATTTAAATTGAATCGAGTCGTCGTTGATATTGGATCTGTTTTCAGCAACCCCTTTTCAGATAGCTGCGGTCTGCTAGCAAGAAATAGATAAGTAAATGAATAAAAAGAAACGTTTCGTCGATGCCGTCTCAACAGAACTGCTGTTATTTCTCGACTGAATTATGATAAAAATATACCAACCCTTAACTTAACGCGAGACATCATCAAATGAAGCTGGTAAAATTATAGGGGTTGTTTTAAGACAACCTCAATTTTGAGTTTAAAGACAGAAATATAATTATTATTTCTTGAAAGTGGTTTAGAATGATGTTTCATGTTAAGGGCTGACTAAACGAAGAACGAGGGAAGAAATGGCGCTGAATAAGGTGCTGTAAATAGTATGTTCATGTTTGTAGTTACGTTACTTCTAGTTCCATGGAAGCCTCGATCGAAGAATCATACGATATTCTTGGTACGAGTAATAAATGAATTTCTTCATTGCTTACGAGCTGCCAGAGTTTTTTTCTTTTGCTTTCCTGACCAATTTATCATTTGCAACCCTTTGTAGTCCAAGTGTCAGAAGAGAACAAAAGTTTTAAGGTAGTTCTTCCATTCTTTTTAAATTAATTTGTTTTTATTAGTATATTTACAAAATTTAGAAATTTCTTCACAGGAATTTTAATTTATTTTATTTTATCAACCTTCACCATCCCTACAGAGTGAAACATAATTAGAGATAAGTATCCTCTTTTTTTATCCAAATATCCAAAATATGACCGAAAAATTGTCAAACTGTTTGATATTCAAAATCCTTTTTACATTCCAGAAATTGAAATCCTCTTCCTTGGTTGACTCCGCCAAATAAACTCAAGTACCGGTTTATATCAAAAAACAATTTCCTTCGAAGGTGTTTTAAAATAAGGTAAGATAGCTTTTAAGCAAGCCGTTTAAACAAGTCGATAGCTCGTATGGAATCTCGTTTGGTGGGTAAAAACGAGCGATCGAACGAGCCAATCCAACGTCATATTCGGCTGAAACGAGGGGGTTGGAAGCCGGCCGTGACCACGGTGATTTAAAATCAATTTGCCAGCCACGTGTTTACGGTAATGGCCGTGCTTGTAACGACCGTGGTTCAATGCGGATTTCAACGGTGCACCGTTACGATCTCAACCGTTCCAATTTCACGGGAAAAGCCTCTTTTCCATTGGAAACAATTTTCCACCCCTCTCCCGTCGTCTTTTTACACCTCGTAATAGCCGACGAAATATAACAAGATCTTAATATTGATAAGTCTGTTCGAATCAAATTGAATTCTTCTAAGTTTTCATATTGATACTTTGAAAATTGATAATTTTGTCAATTTCTAAATTATGAAATATTGCAACTCTTAAAGTTTCTAATTTGCTATTCCATAGATTTCTGATTGAATTTTGCAACATAGAAATTTTTCAACTTGAAAATCTGCAAATTTTCTTACTGTAAACTTGTGATTCGACCACCCTTCTATCAGAATTTTTTATTTCTAATTTGCTATTCTGTTGATTTTTAATTTAAATTTGCAATATAGGAATTTTTCAACTTGAAAATTTGCAAATATCCTCGCTGTGAATATTGTGATTCGACCACCCTTCTAGCCTAAATTTTTATCCCTCGTTTTTCTAAGAATTAACAGAGATGTTCACTCGAATCATTTATTGTATAAAGAAATTCGTAAGTCACGCAAGGTAGAAACAATCATCTCTCAAATTCACGAGACCGAATTCCCAGGAGTTTCAGCTCCGAAAGGGAATAAAATCCTCGCTATTCGACCATCCAAATTGCTGTATCCATCAAACAAACGCACCCCATTAATATCACCCCCTAGAAGCCTATCCCTGGCTCTGTTTTTCGCTCAGGGAATCGTGTTTCCTTGACACGAGAAAGGCGGTGTCTGATCTTGTCGAATCGAACGAATCAAAATGATAGTCATGTAATTTGGAATCCTGTTCCAATCAATAAGGTTTAATCACATTACGTTGTTACTTATCAAATGGTCACACTGGGAACATAATATTTCTAACCCAATTTCATGACATAAAAGTATCGCGAAATACCACTTATGCTACATCAATATAAAGCTTGAAGTTTCATAAAAATGTCTGTATAAACGTTCCATCGATATTTTCAATACAAAATGGCTACTCTGCGCTGGAACAATGCGTCGAACAATTGTCACTTTATTATTGAATATCCAACGAGCAGCCATTTTGTATGAAGAATATTGACGAAACGTTTACGTAGTTATTTTCGTCGAACTTTAAGCTTCAAATTGATGCGCCATGAGTACCATTTTGCAATACTTTTCTGTCATGAAATCGTATCTGATTTTCTAAATCGAACACTCGATATGCAAAAAAGAAGAGGGACATTTATTCTCATTGATTAGAAAATATATCGTAAAAGAACCGTGTTGAAGCTGTCAGAAACCAACTTCCTATCGTATTTCAAGAGAAAAGATTTTTCACGTCAGGGAAAAATGGCCCGTTCGTCGATCACATCCCTTAAATCCGCTCGAGCTCCGCGAAGAGGTACGCAGTTTCATCGCGCTATTAGCATATTTATTGCACGTCAGTTCGAAGCTAGATCTGTCGTGGAATCGTCGCTGACCCGTGACGAAAGCAGCCGTTGAAAGGAGACAAAGATGTAATTATTGGCCGAACCATCGGTCCACCGATCGAAGGGACCACGCTTTTCCGCTCCAGTTTCGACGCGAAGCTAATGAAATTATTCTTGGCATCGTCGGACGTTGGCAGATGGACGAAAACCTCGCTAGATACTAAAGAGAAACCTCAAAGATTTCGATCGAAAACATTCAGTCTCGTTTAGAAACTATTTCTTGAGGGAATTTTATTGTAAGATTGAAGAGGGTTGATTCGAAGAAAAATCGAGGGTGCAATGGTCCTATGATGTATTGGTAAAATTGCTGAAGGGTTTATGAGATGTATTTTTATATTTCTTTGAGAGTTTCATTCATGATTTTTGAAATTTCTGTCGAGGAGTTTAAGGGAGATGAATTGGGTTTTAAATTAAATTTTATGAAAGAAAGATAGACTTAAAATACATTTTATCAATTTATTTCTTTATTTAAAGTTCTTACAATAATTTACAAATGAATTTGTGAATTTGTTGTTCCATCGTCGAAATTTATCAGAGACTTTCCAAGTGGTGACAATTGTTAACGACACTTATTAAAGAATCGGTACGCTCTGTGAGATCGTTTATGACAACAGAGCGTAC